CGAGGATTTCCTCGAGTGATATAAACCACGGTTGAAGGTGTGAAAACTCCGATTTCTGAAGAAATTTTTTCACTCCTTTTTTGGCATTCAGAGGGCCGCTCAGAAAAAATGGAGCCTAGTTTTGTACTCCATGCATGTGCCCCTTTATCATGCAAAAAACCGTTTTCAAAAAGGGCTCCATGTCCTGAAAGACCTTCCTGGTTAGATCAACATGAGAACCATTCTGAAGTACATTAAGTTTAGTAAGATCCCCTTGGTAGAGTTCACTGAAGGCAACCACACGCTGCTGGTCATGGTAAACGTCAGCACTTCTCCCCCCCCCCCCTTCGAGCCACGCTCTGCTATGTTCTTCTTCGGCCTTGATTTCGGTAACATGTTTTCTTTTTTCACTTTCATTCCATCTCCTTTTTCACTCACCTCGAGTTTCGTAGTAGAGGCGAGTCAAAAAAAAGGATGAAGGAAAGTTAGAAAAAAAAGGATGAAGGTAAAGTTAGCAAAGAAAGTGCGCTTCTGCAGCAGGAGTGATCACAACGGAATCTGGTTGAATTCACAGCGCTATGGGGATGCTGAATAATGCGCCAGTGAAGAAAAAAACAAGGAAGTTCTTCAACAAAACGTGATCACTTCAGCTTTCCGTCGATCTCCGACAGTGAGCGAGCCATCGACCAGAAATCGCTCACCTGTTCAACCGATAGTCTCCATTATGCCAACAAAGACCGTGTTCTGACTGATACCTCAGTCCACAGAAAGACTACATGATGCGGTGGCTCAAAGTGAAATATCCTCTCAAAATGACAACCAACGATACTGATATGACAACACACTGATGGGAGGAGCACAGGTGGAGGCGGAATAGAGAAAAGATTAGTACATAGGCCATATACGCTCTACTCGGATCAACTCTGGTAGCGAAAAAGCAACATTCTGCTTTGTATGGCTCCTGACTATTCCTTTCACTAGCGCATATACTCATGCTGCACACACACTTGATCGTGACACATCACACTTGATCCCTTGCTTCAAATGCGACGTTTATGAAGAAAAGGCAGACAGTTAGAGATTACAAGTAGAGGTAATCAGCGGTGCAGGGATGTAGTATAAAACCATGAGAACGGCCAAGTATCCGACGAATGAGACTTGTTCTTTGCTCGTTGATTTCCGCATCGATGTGCTCTCATCGATGGTGCCCACTTCAACGCTAACGCTCTCTGCTAAAGGGCTAGAGTAACACGCTGATGAGTGGGCGTGACACGGCCCGAGCAGAACGGGCATCACCCTGCTAAGCCGTGAAGGACTGCCTTTCGCTGTGGAACGCGCATCGTCTCACATCCTTAGGCCACCTGCCTTTTGGAATTACATATTTCTCCTTTCTTCGAATCTTATCGTGAAACCCTGCTTCACCTGGAAGCTTCGCATATCCAGATTGCAACGTCAATATTGAAAGCATTATACCAGCGGCGCGACATTTATTAATTTAGTTTCACTCATTGCTGTATATTCTGAATATTATATGTATTCTTCCGACCTCATCGTGGAACCTTCCCCTAGTTCAAAGGTCAAGGCGGATCCGGAATTCCCGGGCGCCTTGTTTTTTCTTTGAAGATGTCAGAATGTACATAAGCTAAAATGTACATAAGCCAAGCGGAGCAACGCTCAGAGTGGGCGTGGCTGCATAGAAATGAGATGCACTGACGACGACATTTTCTACTCGGGTTCCAAAACAGCCGAGATAACGGGTGAAAATGAATTAAGCCGTCATTGAGAAGCCGAATCGAATTAAGTGAGACCTACTTTCAGTGGGCGGGGCGTTCTCTAGAAAACGGTGTTTGATGAAAAATTTATAACTCGTTCAGTATTAAGCTTACAGAGCACAGCAAAAATTGATGTAGGGAACTCCACTTAGGGGCACGCTCAGCTCACAGTGGGTGGCGTTTCTTACAAGCCTTCATAATTCGGCTCTGAGAAGTCTTGAGAGAGGAGAAAACATGGGTAGACGTAAGAGAAGGAGGGGCGTCAAATTTCAATAGAGGGCGTAACGCGCACTGAAGTGAGCGCCGTTCGCTTTGAAGCCCATAACTCGATTCGAAGTCTTGCAAACGATGAAAAGAGTGGATGGAGTCTGACAACGGAAGGGAGCCAAATAGCTGTTGGCAGGGAGAGCTTGCACCAGTGTGAGTGGAGTTTGTCACCGAACAATACTTCGGTTACAAGAAGCCTCGGAGATCGGGACAAGTGCATAGGATGCGACGAAGGGAAGAAGGTCAATTGCTGTTGGAGTTCATAGATTCATAACTCGGTTCGGAGACATTCCAGAGACCGGGGGAAAAGTAAATAGATAAAGGTTGATGAGGAAAAAAGATCATGTTCCACCGGTGGGCAGAGCGAGGTGAAGTTTGTTACCAAATTCCACAATTTGGTTCGGAGGCAGTTCAGAGGGAAGGGAAAATTGGCCAATGGTCGAAGGAGGGAAGCTAAAAACTCATAGTTTGATAAGGAATGCACCGTGCTGGGCGAAGTTGGACGAGGAAACTTCGTATTGCATTTCTACATTATATTTCGTATTGTATTTATTTCGTATTATTGTATTTTCTGGTTTGATGATGCATAATTGATAAATTGATAATTGAAAACTGATGCATAATTCTGTCTGTATCAGTGGAGATGCGATTGCACTCGCATTTCTTGCCGGCACGAGCCAGCAATAAATACCAGCGAAGCAAGCTAGTTCAGCTGGTCCGAAATGCCCCTTCCTTCATTTCAAAAGAAAATAGGGAAAGCTCTCGTTTAAAGGCTTCGCCGGCACTTTTCTTCGCTTTTTTTATTACCAGTCAACTCGCCATCTGACTTCATTATTGACCGTTTTTATCCCGCGAAATGAATTAGATCTCCAATTGTTGCTTTAAAAGCGGTTGGTTTCCCTCCCTCTCTTTCGAAGCGTAGACCTTCGGTCTCCCTGGTTCGTTATCGGTTAGTTTACTTTTTTGATGCCTTAGTTTTGCAGATACAGAACGACATACACACCAATATGCACACCGGCAAACCGACATACTAAAATTTGGTTTCATATTAGGTTGAGTCATAAGTGATGTCCACCTCTGATACCAATATTCAAAGCTCAGTAACTTTCTTTACATCCAATTTTTCATTCAATGATACACTTGCCATAGCTGCCAACAACTGTCCTCTATATACTCGCAAGTGAGCCATATGTCAGGCATTCACTTCTGCCCGCACTAACCTTCATGTTGAACGTGTGGTCGCAGACTATGCGATTTTCCGATAGATTGGAAAGCTTGAGCCATGGCAATATTCGAGCATTGCTTGCCTCCAAATTCACGGCTGTTGGTAAACAGGCAGCAGCAAGAACAACTGGAGCTCAAATAATGTGCTTGGCCTGCGAAGTTGTACTTGTCCTCTCGACATTTAGGGAGCCGATCTCTATATGCATTATTATCTATCATGTCCAATCCGTTAACGGCGCACATGTTTGGATAGACCCTTCTATTTTTCTCAGGAGGGACGTGGAAGGACCTCAGCTGTGAACGCCTTGATGCGGGCGGCTTCAGTGCTCCTTAGAGATAAGTACGGATGGCTCTTTTTGGTAACATGAATAACTTTCATGGTCCCCACACAACATATTGTACATGACGAACACTATAGGGACTAGCTATAAGCAGGTCTATGCGATAATGGAAAAAGTTTGGGAAAAGTGGACATTACTAATAGCTAAGTCTAATATAATGAAGTGATAGCGGAACGATTACAACACATCGACTTTAATTCAGGAAGACCCTGTGTTGGCAACTGGTTAGTATTTTGAGTTGGTGTGAGGGATAGCATCTTATAAAGGCTTACCGTATTTCGAAGTGCATTCCATCTTCGAGACTAGTTCTTAAAGGAAACATCCACAGTCCCCATCCGAAAACCTGAAACCTCACTAAAGTGACATCGGAAGCTCACCCTCCAACAAATAAATATTTCGGAATCAGTAGTGTGAGACAACCTGCTGGAAGTTCCTCTCTCTGCCTAGATTGTAGTCTGCTTTGAAATCAAATCTGAAGGAATTCCGATAGGTAACGAAAACGCTGGTCATAAAGAAAACCACGAACTTAAGCACAGCAGGCTTCGCCTGTTCACATGTAGTCTCGTTGATTGAAAGCAACCCGTAATGGAAGATTAGCATCTCTCCGAGAGGGAAATACCTGAAGTCATCGTCCAAAGTACGTACTTAGGTTTCATACCTGAAAACATACCCAAACACTCCAAATGTGGCAATGACAGTAATCAGTAGAACAAGAGGGATGGCATCTTCCATCCAGTTAGCGTTTACAATGAATCTAATGAAACACTCGATCGAAGTCAGCAAGAACCTGTAACAGCCTTTGTCGAAATACATATACATCACTGGGGAATGAAAGAAAAACGAAAGAGCATGAACATCTTTTGATTCAAAAAAATCTCAACTTGGACGAAAATTATTGTTATTGCCGGATTACTTCCAGTAAAACCAGGCCTAAATCGATTGGAAAATATTTCTTCCCGACAGAAACAAGACCTAGAGAAAAGATGGAGACGTAGATATTCCATGCGCTTCTAACAGAAGAAGTCAACGTTGCCTTGCAAGGACTCCACGTGAGCACAAGCACTGTTATGAAGCATGACTTTCTCATGACGGTGACACACAAGATGCTGGCGGCAGAGCCCACATGCCCCGAATAGCGTTCGCCGTTGAGCATATTTCACAGCAAGTTGTATTTGTTCGTCGAATAGAAATTGCACAACTTGCTTTCAGTGACCTCCGCCGCTCCAACAAGTATTCCAACTTGCCAATTCCAAACAGTCGGACGGATTCCCTTCTAAATCTGCGATATCCATCGCTAGAACGTTCGCACTCAATGGCAATATGGTTTGTACATCAGCGATCATGTGGACGAATGAGAGCGATGGATGAGGAGCAAATACTTCAACCATTGCTTCCTGACCTTTCACGTGGACTTTCGTGAAAACATTTCGCTTA